ATCCGGATTCTATCTTGGTCTCCCCGAGCGGTAGACTGTAACCTTAACAGCTTGCCATTTGGCCTTCAATTAGCATATGCTAAAGTATGCAAATTAAATTTTTGCAATACTGCATAACAATAAACCATGCAATTCTTACAAATTTTGTATTTTTTGACATTTTTTTCACCTGATTTTGAATCGTCAACTGAATCAAAATCTAAACATTCGTATTCTGTGAAGAACCCTCCGAACATGTGAAGAACCTTAACATATGTTAGGGTTTCATTAAAAGTAGACTATTTTTGTAAAATCTAATTGTTCTATCTGCAAAATTTCCTTTATCACACTGGTATTCCAGTCAGACCGACAATCCGGTGATCCAACCGGATATGTCAAGCCCGTTTCTCATCACCTGGCCGCCATATTGTGGATCTGACCGAACCAATAATGGGTTTGGTAAAAGAGGCTCTTTTAGTGCCCACAAAGCGGTAAGAGTTTTAAAAAAATTATAGAGTTTGAAGTTTCTTGCATAACATACGATGGCCTCTTTTCAAAGCTTGTGCCCTTCCCTTTTTATAGTCTGCGGACGTCTCTGATTGAATAGATTCCAGTATGCATCAGTTTCAGCAATAACCGCACACAGTAAAAGCTTATTAACCGGTGAACGGTTTAATAAGCTTTTACTGGAACGTCTGGCAACCTAACAAGATAGTGAAAGCAAATAGAGCTACATTGGCATTTGCAGACTCATTTTGTCAAAATAAGTTCCCCATATTTTTAGTGTTTTTTCCTCGTGTGTACGAAAAGGGTCCTTGAATGGCCATAAGTGGTTTCTGCCAGACCCACAATGGGGGCGGCTGGGTAACGAAGGAGGGCCTAACTTATCCAGGACAGCCTCGAGAAATTCGGGAGATTTTTCACCGCTCGGATTTGATCTCTGATCTCCCAGAGTGATAGGCTAATGCCTTATCCGCCTGATAAAGGCTTACTTATTTATATTACTCGTTAAAATGCTTAATCATTTTAATATGCCGATTTATATAATAAATGACTACTTTATCCATATCGATTATTAATAGAATTATTGTTTAAATAATGCTTGACGATTACAGAATCCTATTTATCTTCTCTAGCAATCGAACTTGTACCTCCTGCCTCAAATGATAATCGATAGAAAGATAAAGGAACTTGATCCAAATTCCATTGATCAAATATTTAACAACGAAATATATGTATAAAAAAATATTTAATTGTAAAATTATTAATCATTTTAAAATACGTCATTTTTATTATTAATTTTATCGGAAACGAAAGCAAATGATTAATAATTTTATGTCATTTTCAAGGAATTTTATCAGTTTGGGGATATTTCTCCCTTTGATATTTATGCAAATATTTGTACAATAATTTTATCATATCTTAAAATATATATTTTTTTATTTCCAGAATTTTTTGCCAAATTATATTATAAAACTACTTTTTAAAAATTAATTATAATTTTATCGATTTTAAAACTAAAAGTTTTAGGGAAAAAATGTTACTCGCTACAGGGAATTTTCTGTATTGTGATATAAATACGAAAAATTTAGATATTTAAGTAATTATTTTTTAGTTTTTATAAAATTTAAACTTCAAAATATAATTTTAATTCTTAAATTCCATTCGTGATAATTAATAACCAAAAATAACTCTTATCTATCGCCATTGTTTATCCACAGGCCTTGGTCAAATTTATCATATTCAATAATTTATAAATGAAACATTTTCAAAATGTATTATTTTTATTACTCAATAATAAATCTGTATTCACAGAATTATAATTAATAAATTTTAACTAAATTAACGAACGCTAAATCATTTAGGGAAATTTTTTAAAACTTTTTCCCTAAATAACTCAATCGTTCGAGAACACACTTGTTTTTGAGATTACATTAGTGATTGTTAAAAAGAGTTCGGTAAATACAGTAATTCGTATGATAAAAACTTCCTCATTCTCTGCAGTATTACAACAGCTACAATATTTATTATAATTTATTTTTTAAATTATAATTTGTGTAAATTTTAACTGATTTGGGGATATTTCGGAAGAAATATCCCCAAATCAGTTAAAATTTTGAATTTAAAAATATCGAAAGTAGATTAGAAATATACATAAAAGTTTGATAATGTGACTTTAAAGAAATATATTTTTTGTTTCTTGAATAAATGTAATATTATTATCTCATTAAGATAGCAAACATTGCACTTTTATCTCCGCTTTTATATAGACATACCGCATTTTAATTAACGGGAATTTCCGTTCATAGTGAAAAGAAAACCCTTAAAATCAGTAAAGTGGAATAAAATTAATTTTAAAAAAATTAGAATATATTAATTAGAAACATCAACTATTGAGAGTTGAGCATTGAGAAAAAGCAAACTTTAAGATAGCAAACATTGCACTTTTATCTCCGCTTTTATATAGACATACCGCATTTTAATTAACGGGAATTTCCGTTCATAGTGAAAAGAAAACCCTTAAAATCAGTAAAGTGGAATAAAATTAATTTTAAAAAAATTAGAATATATTAATTAGAAACATCAACTATTGAGAGTTGAGCATTGAGAAAAAGCAAACTTTAAGATAGCAAACATTGCACTTTTATCTCCGCTTTTATATAGACATACCGCATTTTAATTAACGGGAATTTCCGTTCATAGTGAAAAGAAAACCCTTAAAATCAATAAAGTGGAATAAAATTAATTTTAAAAAAATTAGAATATATTAATTAGAAACATCAACTATTGAGAGTTGAGCATTGAGAAAAAAATTGAAATAAAAAATGAATTTATTATTTTTTAACCATTCAAAATACTATATACACATAGTATTAAATATGACCGCCAGATGGTCAAGGCCAGATGGCTACAAGTTGCCAGATTTGAAGAATTTAGGCACTAAAAATAACTGAATAAAAAATTAAAAAGTTCATTAGTTTTTAGCGCTAAATAATAGGAATAATCAAATGTCGGGTTTTATAAATAGCTTATGTCCTGTTTACAAAAAATAAATAAAATTTAATATTGAGTATTTTGTTAATAAAATCCTAATCACGGCAGTATGGCCGAGCGATCAAAGTGGCAGCTCGGCCATCCGCCCGTGATTCGATCGGATCACCCGGTCCCATCCGGTCGGATATGTTGGACCCCGGCCGTTCCATTGTGGCGTGGTCGCATAAAGAAATGCTAAAAGACGCCCTCTTAGTGCCCACAGGTTGGCAAGAGTTAAATATATATATATATTGTAGGCCTATATATAAAAATAAACCCAAATCAGTTCGGGACCTGGAAGCAATATAACATATATTTTTAATTGTGTCGGTCTTCAATGCAATACAGTAGAGCGTCGATTATCCGAAAGAATTCCAGTCGGCAAATTTAAATTTTCGCCAGTGCTGTGGCGCTGCAATCTTTGGCTATGTCTTGGGCTACTCAAATATTTTACGTTTTTGATACTAAATTAACTTCTGAAGTATAATTTTTTATTGTTTTTATATTTTTCAATATATTTATTTTGTTTGTACAAAATAAAAAAATAACTTTTAACGATACAATAGTCTTCGTTAGGCTTAACATCGACGAAAATCCAACGTGAAGCGACACGCAACGGAGAAAATTTTCAACATGGGATAAATTAATATATTTTTTCGTACACAATCGGTTATCCGAAACATCGATCTTCCGAACAACCCCAGTCCTCAATTGATTCGGATAATCAACGCTCTACTGTATAAGGATACGGGAGTAAAGGTGGACGGTTGCTTAGGGAGGCAGATTGCTAGGGGCGGAAAAACTGACCGAAGAAAATAAAAATAATAAAACATTCTTAATTTCAGATGATTAATTATTTTAATTTTTGAAAATAGTTAAGTAATTAATTAAATGTGAGGTCTAAACCCAATAGATCTTTCGATTAAAAATTACACTGTGCCTACATCTAAAAAGGCAAATAATTATCTTGCCCAGGGCGGCATTATTTCTAGGATGGCCCCTGATTGTGTGTATATTTATTTTCAAACACTATTGTGCTTATTCGGTCTATATGCAAAAATAACAAAATGAGCTGTACATAGAAATTTGTATCTAAGTGACAAAGTTTTTTCTCTCCCCTCTCTCTGTGACAACACAACACACAAACTAACACAAACAGTACAAACTAAAGAATGACAAGAGGTCCATACCTTCTAATATCTACTTTTATTCCCATTGAAAACGCAAAATTTAATGTTAGATGTAATAAACCAATCATCTAGATTTATGATTAGCACAGACCACTGCATTGTTCAGCTTGCCATCAGCTGCTTTTTCTTCATACCATCGCATTATAACTTAATATAATACTGTATATTGTATAGTACATAGTATAAATGAATTCCTTATTTGAAGTTTTTCTGTTAATAATCGGAAGATGTTAGAAACATTGATTTTTAGAAATCATCAAGGCCGCGGACCTCATAAGAAGCCTTAACGGGCCACATACGATCCGTTATCCTCACCTTAGCCCTCCCTTAGTTATACCACTGCAGGTTTGTCGGGCCCATCACACACCACCATACTAATCCCCATTATGAATCTGGCAAAACCACAATGGTCATGGAAGAAAGACCTTAGTGCCCATAGTTAAGGAAAAGAGAAAAATATATAAATACGGTAACTTACGTTTGTAAAATGTGCGGTATTGCACAAAATTCAGGTTTATTCTATCGTTTACAATTTTTTCACGACACTGACAAAAAACTTATTACGAAATCGCCGCAATTTCCACAAATGTCAAAAAATTTAAGCCATTATCTACGTTACAGATAAAATATTCATGGCCAATTATCTAACGGTTATACTTGACCCACGTAAATGCCCTAATTAAGACTTTCATATCTTATTTTACTGTTATATCAGGTTAAAATTATTATGTATTGTATAGATATTGCCAAATCATTTATAAACTATAACATTCCAAAAAAAAACATCCGTCTACTTACCTTTGTCAGTGAATCATTGTTCAATTCAACACCTCCAGCAGAGAATAAACCAGCGAGTGGATGTTTGGTGATAGCAAAATTCGCACTTTATCAAACTGGTGAGAAACAAATATAATCAATGTTCACAGAGATAAGAGAATTACGGTATGATGTATTGTTAATGTGTATCTAATCCTTCATGAACAACAACAACCTACTTTTGTACAAAATTAGAAACTGTAACCTTTAGTTAGTTTTCATTTTAATGATTAAAAATTACCCTTTATCTCTGATTATATTTAATAACTCGACTACACTATCTTTAATCACTAGACAGATGGTTCGTAAGACTAACATCAAATAAAAAGTGATAATCTACATCAGTGGGTAGTAAGGATATGTAATATGTCAGCAAATATTAGAAATAAATGCTATTAATTATTCTTAACTAATCTTTAACACAGTCTACAAATGTAATCTAAGTAATTTTAATCTTAGCTATATAATAATTTTAAATATTTGTTATTTTCTTAAAATTATTTTCAAGTTGTAGTAATTTACATATTTTCTAAAGTGATAAAGATAAAATTTTGAATTAACCTAAGATTAATTTATCGATATGGATCTAAATACAGGAATTTTCTTCTAATTCTTTTTCTCACATAACTTTTTTAGATATTAGCTAGTTAAATAAAGTTATATACTATATTATTTACAAATATTGTCTGTTTTCTTTTGCTGATAATTGTCAGTTCATTATTGAGCAAATGTCTCTCCTCCATCTTCAAACTTCAGTCTCATCTGGTTCTTGGTTTTTCTTCTCATATTCCATCAATTGTTTCTCCCTTCTACTAGCTTTATGTGCATCTTTCATCTTTACTTCTGTTGATGGGTACATTCTGGTATGCATCAAACAGTGCATTGGTGAACTGTAATGTACTGTGTTCCAATATTTACCAATGAGTTCGTCAGTGCAGCAACTGATGGAAATTGCACTCACTGGACTGTGAATATGGATATGGTAAGCTCTGACAACACAATATGGCTGCCTTCAAGGTTATGTTATTAACACTGGTTTTATTACTTATCCATATTAACCCAGATATTTTGACAAAAGTCTGCAAATGCCAATATTGCATGCATTGCTTCAGCCATCTTGTTAAATTGCCAGACATTCCAGTAAAAGCTTATTGTAGCCAAGACCGTTGCATATACCAAATGTGAAGTATAAATGACCAACTACACCAATAGTTAAGAATATAAAACAGATCTAAGAAACAACTGTCTCAAAATTACATAATATTTAAGTATTAACTGCACAAAAAATACTGTCCAGATTAAGCTCATGTGGAAGAATATCTAGAAGTTTAAAAGAAAAACCATTAAAATAGTAAGGCCCTGTACACACTAGGCGTTTTTCAACGCGCGTTTTAAAGAACTATGTAGCCGTACACACTCAAACGCCAAGCGCGCGTTTATAGATTTTTGTTAAAACGCGCGTTTTGCGAGCGCTTTGAGATATATGTGCTGCCATGTTACCGTACATGCGATCGCGCGTTTTGCGGGCGTCAGCCGAGCGCTTTGAGATATATGTGCTGAAATGGAAAACGATCATTTCGATACTGATCTATTTATTGATGATATCTAAAAGACACCAACCATCGTCAAAGGATTTTATAGATATTTTAAAAGAATTAAAAAACTTGAATTTATTTTGTCTTAGTTTTGGATACAACGTCGCAAACATTTCATCTATCTCGTAATATTGGGTGCACCCAAAATTCTCTTTGCCTCTGCCGTCGTCTTTTATAGCGACGATAGAGGAGCCACACACAAGCAATCACTTCCACATCCATTTCCAAACCGAGCCAGTGCGCACGCTCCGCTAAACGCTCGTCAAACGCCGAGCTAACGCGCGTTAGCTCGGCGTTCGACGAGCGTTGAAAAACGCCTAGTGTGTACAGGGCCTAAGTGTGCAAGATTAAAATTGAGACAAATAATTAAAATAGTGGTACACCAAGAGGAGGGCTAAGGACCCTTGGCACTCTCCAAAGAAAAAAAATCCCGCTAGAAAATTTTCCAAAAATCTTTTAAATTTGTATTGGGTGGCATTTTCTATTTTTGTACTACTTATGAATTAGTGGTCACATAAGTTGGTAATTTTATTAGATTTTTTTCTGTTCAACTTTGCTTCTGAGATTCAATCCTGAGTGCACCACTGAATTAAAATATATTTAATGGATAAAATACAGTTATGCAATGAACACATTGATCTCCAATAAAAAAAAAAAAATTTCTATGCAATTCTGTAAAGATGACTTCAGTTTTCCTATTTTTTTTAATGGCTTTGTCCACACTTCCATCATGTAATGCAAGAATTAATCTTATGGTATTGTTAATAATTTAACTATTATTGTTTTATTTCAAATCTTTGTATTTAAAAAATAATTTTTGAATATTTTTGCAATTATTATGAAATAAAACTTTAAAATATTTAATCTTGATAAAACTTTAACTTCTATATGTTTATCTGATTGATGTTTAAATATAAGCAATACATCTAACTAAAACATACCTTGGATATAGAAATTAGAGAAGAATTTGTAGCAAATTTTCCTTGTGATATTTATATATAGATATACAGTACTATATATATTTGTATACAAAATACCTTTATTGTGTTTAAGTGTCATGATAATTTAATAACAACTTTCAGAAAAATTATTTCAATTGATTCAGACAACTTCATACATTTGTTATTTGCCAAATGCTGAGCAGACATTGGACCAATACATAGTAGTGTCAATGGTTTACTTGTGATTTTGCTTAACAAATATCCCGTATTTGTTGTTTTCCACTCCTTGTTAGTATATTGTGCCAAATCAAAGGGGACAAGTATTCATAATTTCCACAACAAATCAAATTAGTTGCTTTGCCAAGGAAATTCCATTTTGTTACCAAACTATTTGCCAAAATGCTTGTCACATGCTAAGCAAACTATAACAGTGTGCTCATCATGTGACAAACACTTTAATGAAAGGGAATTACTTGGCAATTGGCATATACTGAATGTGTGGAGCTGCCTTTATATACAAAGTGAGTAAACGATGTTTACTTGATTAAAGTACACTTGACAATGATGGAAGTTGGTAATACCTAACTGATTTTTTATGCACCATTTTGTTTTATTTATTTAGAGTTTCAAATACTATCCTAGGGTGCATACTAATGTTCAACATTTGAACGTTTTTTGAAGTATATAGCATGGCAGCAGCATCAACTGCATATGATCACTTGATATTTCCTATTCCTATATCATAAGAACAGAAAAATATCATTAACAGGAGTGTCTGCTCAATTATTTAGACATAATTGTAATGCTGTGATATGTATGTATTAATTATAACAAAAATTATTAGACTTCAAAACCAAGTTAACAGGAAGTGTTAAAATTAGAAACTGGTTTCATCATTCATTTTATTATAATACACACGTAACAAATAAGGATTTACACTGAATGACCGAAGTAAAATGGTCCCATAAGAAAAGGGTCAAACAGATCAAAACTGGAGTGAAGGTAAATCTTTAAGAACGTGTATATTTTCCCCATATGTGTAGCATGAAGACGGAAGCGATAAACAAAAGACTCATGACCAGAACAGGTACAGGACCACTGAAATAAAAGAAAATAAAGAATATTAATTACAAGTTTCTTTAGTATAATATTTTCTGAAAGATACTTTAATCAAATTCATAAAAAACAAAAAACTAACACTTTAATGCCAGGAGAGTCATCTGTGTAAAATCTCCACATTCCACCACTGGTTGCACCTGTGTTTCTTGCCCTACTGCTGCTACTAGCAACAGTTTTCCTGAAAAAATTAAATAAATAAATATTTATATACAATTGTATTGTAAAATATTTAAAGAATTGCAGACTAATCATGTATCAAACTGAATTTGAAATTATACCAGTTTTAGTAGTGTTTCTTAAACTTTTCAGACTACTGCCCCTTTTTAGTGCATATATTCCTTATTTTGTGTTTTGTTTGTTTCAAAATGAATTTTTGTCCCCTGATCTTCCAACAATGCTACTGTCCCTTGCCCTCCAGCACCCATTGAATCTTCTACTGCCCTCAAGGAGGTGGTAGAAGTTTCAATAGGTGCTAGAGAACAACTTTTGGGAATAAACTAAATATCATAAAGTTTTGTTATAAAGAATGAATATTATACAACATGTTTAATATTACAAATTAAATGAGATTGTTTACTATTGAATGATTTAATATAAAAAAAAGAAACCTGAAGTGTGATTATCAGAATTAAACATAATTCAATTAGAGTACTATTTGTTAAATTAATAATAATCGGTAAAAAGATCAAATAAATTTTAATTTATATAAATTTAAAGTTTAATAATTTATATGAAAAAATATAAAATTTAACAGCACCACACTGCAAAATATCAAAAGTGAATATTGTAGCATTAGCCATTTGAATGCTTGTTTGAAATTGAATTCCTTTGACAACTATAGACTAATTTGTTCCTCAGAAATTTTGCCTTATTATTATTTTTTCTTTCTTTCCAGCCTGTGGGCACTAAGACAGTCTTTTTTATGATCATCATGGGTTCAGCAAGACCCACAATAAGATGACTGAGTAATGAAGGACCAGGGCCTTGTCTTTATATAACTTGAATATAGGAAGTGATACGACTTAAATTTTTTGTCAACATCAAAAACACCAAAACTCTCAGCATAAATAAAAGTAATTTTTTCTCATGTAAATATTCATTACAAATTTTATTTCATTTTAATTATCTGTATGGAATACATAAAAGCAAAATTGTTATGTTGATAATTCCTATACAGTATGAACTTATGTACAGTGCATACAATCATTTGTAAAATTTAATTTTTTTTCACAAACTTCTTAATTATAACATGTAATTAAATAACTCAAATTTCAATTCCTTAATTTGAAAAATCACAAAAAATGTGATGTATTAATTATTGCATTAAAGAGAGATCTTAATAATATAATCAATAATACAAATATTTTTTTAGAATATAAAATTAAAAAACTATTTAAGAAACACTCCATTAACAGCAGTTGCTATTAATGCAGTGTTGTAAAAAATAGACATTGAAGACTACACACAAAAGATTTTATATACCATCCAGATGTTAAGATTATGCTAATATTATGTTTATATGATAGAAGTCAATCCCAATCAAACCTTTAAAGCTGATAAAACTTTTTGCATTCAAATGTAAGAGTTAGTTAATCTCAATCAATAACAATGGGTTATTTTCACAATATTCCTATAACAGATTTAATCTTCTTTAAGATTAGTGACCTGATGTCACAGTATTCCCCTTCTAGTAGAATCAACAACTAAAAAAATGATATCATATTAACCAAAATCAAGTTGATTCTGTGTGAACACAATATTGACTTCTATTATGATTTCCAGTTAACTTAGAATACATCTCATCCCAAATAATTTTTGTCATACAAACATAGTACAAGTCTCAAAATAAAGCTAAATTAAAAAATATGTAGAGGAAACTAAAATATATTCACTTTTTATCATGTACCATTGCCAGGAACAATCTTTCATTGAAGATGACTTTTTACTAGAGGTTATGACTCTGCAAAAATATGCAAAACAGTTTAAAAAGTTCACTAGTGACAAGCCAGTAAACTTTTAAAATTGTTTTAAAGATCAATGTCAATAATATTTGAATGTGTTCCCAATGTTTAAAAGGCATGTAGAAACAAAACATTCCTGTATAAAATAATCTTTATCCTGAAGGTTTACTGTGGATTTGTTGTCCAGGATATACATCATTCCTTAATAAAATGATAGATTTTCTTAACATAAAATTTAATTTTTCATTGAGAATTTTTAAAATTATTCACTATTTTGTTATGACTTCATTGTCCCTTCACATTTAGCATCCAGAAACATATCCTCTTTGCCCTTGCTTGCTATGCTTCTGCTTCATCCTCTGTTTCCTTCTTTAAAAAAACTACATCATGTGAACATTTTAAAACTTATTTTTATACTTTTTATTTTAGATATTGTTGTATTGTTGTTGATGTGAGTATTATCATTAATCATGAACTTCAATATATGCACAATGCTTATAGAGAATAAAATCAAAATTTAATAAATAAATCTTCACTGCTATTAAAAATCTAGGAAATATCTTGTAATATTTTTAAAATGCGTTTTTTATTTATCACTGTAAACTACAAATGCATTTGCTTTCCTTTAACATGATATTCTCAACAATTCACAATATGGATATATGTTCTTAACTGATTCACCTCCTACACTGATTCATTTCCTCTTATCAAAGGATTCATTTATTCTTATTGTAAGAACACAATTTTTGCAAAAAAATATTTTCTATTATCGAATGTATTAAAGGGAAAGCTTGCTTATAATGAATATAACAAGACACACTTGAATATAATGAAAAAATATGTACCATTACATTTCTTACTGATTTATAATAAATGGCAAGTCTGTCCATTGAAATACTAGTTGTCCAAATTTATCTTCATTACAATCATGATATGATTGTAATGAAGATAAATTTGGACAACTAGTATTTCAACAGACAGACTTGCCATATATTATAAAAAAAAAGAAATAAATACAGTAGAACCTTGATTATCCGGACTAATTGGGGATGAAGGTAGTCCGGATAAGGAAAAATCCGGATAATCGAAACAAATACTTTGTCTTTTAATGATACAGTAGAACCTCAAAAACTCGACCTAATGTGGACCAAAGGGTGGCCGAGTTTGTGAAAATGCCGGGTTATCGAGAATGGGGTTAAAAAAGGATAAGTATGCGTGTTTCCTCAGAAAATACTGTACTGTACTTGTATGTATTGTTTGCTTGAGAATACAACAGAGAAAAAACTGCCCAAATACCCTTAAACAAAGGAAAAGTACGTACTTTATGAAGGAATAGAGCCTTTACTACATGAAAATGAAAATTAATGAATACACTGTGTACAGTAATTTACCTGATAAGACAGACCTCAGAAAAATACTTTATGAGAGCTTTTATACTTTTATAAAGCTGACTATAATGAAAATTAATTAACTAAGGATTTTTTTGCCCTGCCAGGGTGTGGCCGAGTTATCCGGAGTGCCGGGTTATCGAGAGCCGAGTTTTCGAGGTTCTACTGTAATACAATACGTTTTCTTTTCGATGACATATCGGTAATATTAAAAGTAAATACTGTATTTAAATCGTGATCAAATTTTCAAGAAACAAACGTTTGTATTTAATTTGGACTACTACTGACCAGCGATAACAGACTACCTATTGTTTAAAAGGCCCTCTGGTGGCGCAAGACGGATTTTATAAAATAAAAAGCAGTCGAAACTGCATTTTTATGAATAAAAATTTGACAAACTATTTATCGTTTTATGACGAGTAAAATTTTTTCGTCGCATTCGCGGCTTTTAAGTAATGCGTAAACCTTCAAGGCGCGAGGCCCTTTGGACCGCGAGGCGTAGGCGGTGGCCCACGTCGTCCATGCCTTACGCCACCCTTGGTCATAGAAATGATGTAATTTGAATATAAATTATTTATAAATACGTATGTAAAGTTATATTTTTATTACTACGTAAAATATATTTAAGAGTTTACGACCACTGTGCCGGGTGAGACGTTGTTGAAACAAAAAAAGTTATGCATTCCATCACGTACTGTACATAAACAGTATCATAATTCGCCAAGTGCAAATCGGCAAATTTGTAAAATTTTTGTTTATTTTGAACAGTCCGGATAATCGAAAATCCGGATAATGGAGGTTCTACTGTACAAAAATTGTCACCAAATGGCAAAAAAATTCACTTGACTAGCACTTCAATAGTTTAGTGTTTCCTTTAAAGAAACAGCATTTTCTACAGCAGACCTTAACATTTCAATTGGAACAGCAAGAACATGATGGCTAATGCTGCCCTTCAGATGTGACAGGAGTTTGTTGTCTTTCCCAATAAACTGGGTTCAAGAAATCAAGAAATCTCAAAACCAAAAGTCCCATGTGACAAGTTCTGGTGATCAAGGTAGTCAAGATATCTGGAAATAACAGCTGATACCACTAGTCTGTAAAGGACTAAGGCAGCACTTTACAGAAAAATTTGAATTTTTGGACACAACAGATGATGTAAGGAGGCAACCATGTTGCATCATTATGGTATCTTGTAGATATCCATGTTGTTACAGCTGTAGGATTACAAAATTGTCACCATACCAAAATACTGCTGTCCAGTGATGAAACAGACACAGGATCTCTTCAAAATAAAAAAAAAAAAAAAAAAAAAAATGGAACAATGATGAAACTGGTCACAAATCCATATCACACTCACTTTTTGAAGAATGCAATGGTACCCTTAGATAACTCAAGAGTTTTCTGCCACCTAAATATAACAATTGCATTTAAGCAGAAGTGAACCTCATTACTCCAAAGAATGTTCCACAACCAAATGATATCAACTTACATTTGTGCTAGGAACTGAAGTCCAAATGTCCATGAATATCAGCAACACCTAATGCATCACTAGTCTTACATTAAAGTGAAATAAGGAATATCCATGCCATTGGCAACATGTGTATTTGCACTACCACAGCAACATCTTATACATGAGAATTGTCCTCTCATTTTCAACCTCTAGAATACTTGCCAAGAATTCCTCTCTTCAAATTTTGCAAGCAAAACAGACAGACGGGCGAATGTCTATAATTTTAAAGAGAGTGCTTTGCTTTTTTACAGCTTAGTAATCAGCATTATGCAAAGAATATAAGTTATTTCCACTAGTGACAACTTTTGTGCTTTTATTCAATAAATGGCAGGCACATCCTTTGAACTCCCGTTGTCTATATTTCTCCTTTATTATGTGGCTTAGAACTCACTCTAGAGTCCTTTTGAAATACTTTAATTTTAACAACTGTATTAATAACCAGTAAATATTTTCTTATATACTACATATTTCATGTAAGTAGATATAAACCTAAAAAATTACCTATTTATTTCTTAATCATGTTTAATCACCAAAATAAAAATAAGTAAAAATATACCTTTGTTTTAATGTGCCGCCACCACCACCAGATTGCTTTAGTGCACCACCTGGAGATCGTGGTGCCATGGCCTTAGGTGATCGTCCTCCTCCTCCAACTGAAGTTGCACTTGCAGAAGCTGGCTAAAATATTGTAACAAAAAACTATCTTTATATGTTATCAATTTAAATAATATGTTAAATATTAAATATCATTATAGTTTATAACTTTATGAGATTTCAGACCATTTTAATTAATAAAAAAAAATCTTTAATGTATGATATCTTTTCCATGTTTTTATAACTTTTGAAATAAACTAATAATTTCATTATAAAATGGATAAATCTGTAACAGAATAAGAAATAAGGAAAAAACTGAAATCAAATTCTAGCATGAATCATATAACTTTCCAGAGTATTATGAGATTTTATTTAAAAATAACTGTTACATTATTGATTATAATAAAAAGACAAAAGGGTTAATTTTAAGGATTGAGAGGATTAAAAATATTGTAATTGCCAATAATGATTAAAAGTTTCATTATGCCTAACTCACTCGAAATATGACAACCCCCCTCAACTTTAACAACCAAAATTTAATAGCATTAATGTCCTTATATACAAGTTACCATGCCAAATTTCATTTCTTAATCTTTACCACTTCCTGAGATATTAAATGAAATAGACACCAACACATACAGAACTTCCACCCTTTTTGACTTTTTTGGATTCGGGAGTCTCAAAATGGAGAGATTTGCAAAAAATCCAGAGGGTCAAATTTGTCACAATGCCAATACTTTCCCATGTTATCTATACAGAGTATAACAAGAAAGATGGTCACAACTTTAAGGGGTGATAGAACATGGAAAAGTAACAATTAACCATATTTCTTGTTACACCGTGTATAACAGCCTGGAAAGTAAAATCTAACGTTCATTCAATAATAATTAATTAATATTAAAACAGAACATAATAATTTCCCATATAACTAAATTTAAGCATAATATGGATTAATTTCTCATAATATATTATTTTGCATTAGTAATAATGTAAAAAAAATTTTATATACAATCCCCACCCCAAAAAACAGAAAATTTAAAACTCCAAATCAATCTTTATCTTAAAAATGTTTAAGATCAGCATATATTTTAATACATAGGAAGCATTAAGGAAAAGTATTATTTAAAAATTTTAATAAAAAGAAACTATTCATGCATAAAAGCTTGCAATTCTAATGTGTTTAATACAGGAAAATTCATACAAATGATGTTCTAATATTCAAATATAATAAGAATTTTGGATATAAATTAAATATAATTAAAACTTCTTACATTTAAAAAATAGAACAAAAATAATGCTCAAAGTCCATAATAAAATATAAAAATGTAATATGTATGCAAATGTTTTAGAAATTCACACACTTGCAAAACCTTTATAAGCAGCATAAACAATTTAATTACTTTCATTAAGTTGGATAAGGCATTACCAGAATTGAAATCTCCATATGTCTGACTGCTCACCTAATTTACACAGATCATTTACCGTAACACCATTATATACATTCTTTATGTGTTTTTGTATATATTTGTTTTATTATTTATTACTCATTATAAATTGTTATATATTTATATTGTGTTACATATTTATTTGTATTTTTATTATATTTGTTTTAATTAAATAAACTGGCATTTTATGTTCCAAAGTTTATATTATATACAGTATTCTATTTTTTGCCGAGTTCAATTTTGCACTCTACCTGAGGATGGTCTTTAAAAATGACCAAAGACATTCATAATTAAATTGTTTTTGCTGCTTATAAAGATTTTGTGAATGCCTGAATTTCCATAATTGCAGTTTCTATTTTTTAAAAGTTCTAGAAAAATTATGGGATAGGTCATTTCATAACCCTTAATATTACAAGTACAATAGAGCTTTATATATAATAGACAACAACCAAATGCTGGTTAAATTGTACTAAATCAACATACACAAAAGCCAAGAATCCAGCAAAAAATTTCACTTAAACATATTTATCCACATTCCATTGGACATCATCAGGCTGTAGAATTGGAAATTAAGTTGCATTATTTGAATATTCAAATCCAATATGTTGGTGGAGATGTTTCTGATCTGGGCAGTTGCCGATCGGAGGAGACATTCCCCATATGCACCCGTGGTTTACAGGGGGGTGAAGGAAAAATTTCCACCAGTTGAGGAATGTTGAAATATACAAAGCAGCATTGAATAATATGGTAATCAACTTTAAGGATGATGACACATTCCCCAAACACGGGTACATGTGGGGAATATCTCCACCAATCAGTAGACAGTAATGCATCAAATTCGAATATTCAAACAACACAGCTCCATCTCCAATTCCACGGCCCAACAATGTCCAATGGAATAGGGACAAAAACATTCACGTACATGAAATTTTTTGCCGGATTCTTGGCTTTTGTATACGTTAATTTTGGCTTTAATACAAAACTTTTTTTTTTTAATTTATAATTAAATACAATTTTAATTTTTCTGCCCTTGACAGGTGCTTTTCTTCACACTTGCATAATGAAACTAGATAGTAATGGATGGAATTTACCAAAGATCTAATGTGATCTTGAATCCAAATTCCTCATAACAGGTTGCCTAAACAATATGGCCATATAACAATCATCTAAAAATGTTCTGCCAGCTTTTAGGTAAATGAAATAATGTGAAACATATTTAATATTTTTTAAAGCCCTGCATAATATAACATCTGCCAATGTTTTAATCATTGAGTAATGTTTAATACATATGCAATGGAAAGAAGTATTGTAGAATATTACAGTAGGCAATTTTTAAACAACACTTTTCATTGATTTATACACGTGAACAGAATAAATATTGCTTTACCACTTGATTTTAATTGCAGATTTAATTTTAAAAAAGTCTTATTTTTTTAAGAAGGAAAAATTCCATTTGAGTCATTAGCCTGTTAATGTACTTTTAACCCCTCTAAAACACGCTTTCTGAATTCTTAAATCAATTCTCAACCTTCATTTATGTATAATTATGGTTTTAAACATATTCTGAGTCAAAAATAAAGAGATTAAATTACTACATGAGGAAACATCTTACCATCTTTTAGATTTAGAACCTGACGTGGCAATGCTCCCTCATAACAAGAATTAGGCCACCTGTCGGAAAAAAACTTGAAAATTGTTAAAATAAATTTTTAAACATAATTAGTTTTTAGTTTATTTTTACTAAAATCTTAAGATGTAATAATTTCTTATTAATAATGTAATTTTATTATCTGTGTTTAAAATATTTCTGTGTTTTAATAATAAAATATTTTTCTTGAATAACTTTTTTTAACTCTTTCCGCCCTGTGGGCACTAAGAAAGCCTTTTTTAGCAGGCCCATTATGGGTTTGGCCAGGCCCACAATGGGTCGACCGGATGGTGAGGGACGGGTCCCGACATATCCGATCGGACTACTCCCGAAAAATTCCTGGGAACTTCTCGACCCGTCCATGAGCGCCCACAACGCGTAAATTTTCAAATAACAATAACAAGTACAAACAAACAAAATAAAAATACATTGAGTGTGACTGGCTGGTTTTGCCTTGCAATGGAAGTCTAAAAAACAATTGTTAAAAACAAACATATAAATTATTAAACTTGGTAGGGATTTTGAGACACTAAAAGTATTCCGCGTTACTGTTACTGCTGTAGTTTTATTTACTAGTTGGTTGGTTGTCCTTCTGAGTTCTGGTCTTCTTCTAATTGCAAATTTTAATTGTATGAAAATAAAACTTTTCGGTTTCCTTACTCCAATAATTTCTATGTTTTGTACTGAGTTTCATAGAGTTTGAACTCAAGCTAAAATCAAATTAGGTCTTAGTTATTTGGGGGGAAATTGAAATTGTTCGAATCGACAGCACAAATTTGATGGGACATAATGGGCCTCTCTTATAATTACTGTACTTTTAATTCTTACTTTCCTGTAAACTTTTATTTCAGGGTCTATTGGATGCCCGAAAAATTCCTGGGATTTTTTACTCGTCTGCATTCAATCCAGGATTTCCCATAGGGAAAGAATGTTAACAGTTCAGCCATCCTGGTCTCATATGTTATGTCTATTAACATCGTATAATGAAATATATTAGTATACAACGTTATACAATTTACAAATCGTAAATATTAAACTCCAATATTTTATCTCCAATTTGTTTAATAAGCTGAAAACGATCAGATTTCCTGCGATAGTTGAATCTAAGAAAACCATCATCCGTCATCACTTCATATACAGTTTTGCTATCGCCATTCATTCATCCACATGGTCTCCTTCAATCCCATTAGGTCTTTGATTCTCTCATTAGTTATTCTTTTTCTTTTTGAGATTCTGCACGATCTTCTTAATGCATCCATTTCAACCGTTGTTACGGTAGTCCTCCAGTATTCTGCCGGTATACCAGGAGAATTGATAAAAAATGAACAGAAAAATTATTTAGAATGATAACAAAATTATTCGAAAAATGTCTTAATGGAGAAGACATTCCAAAAGAATGAAAAATTGGCTTTTTGACATCTATCTATAAAAAAGGAGATAAACAAAAATGTGAGAACTATCGAGGAATTACAGTAACAGCAACATTTAATAGATAATATAGACGAATAATAAGAGATCTAATCGAAGAAGAATATGAAACAAAAGAAAAAGAAGAGCAGAGTGGATTCAGAACAGGAAGATCATTCATGGAAAATATTTTCTGTATAAAACAGATTAAGGAAAAAAGATTAGCAACAGAACAGGAAACTCATTTGTTTTTTATAGACTTAACGAAAGCATATAATAATGTCCCAATATTAAAATTATGGGAGACATTAAAAGAATTAAATATTAATAACACGCTTATTAAAGCAGTGAAAGAATTATATAGAGAATCCATAACGAAAATAAAAATTGGAAAAAAAATATCAGAAGGATTTATGATATCAAAAAGACTAAGTTTGGGATGTTGTATTCATTGGCGTAGCCAGAGTTTTGTTATGGGGGGCCTAGTAGAGGCCAGCCTGACACAAAATTGAATTATTTCAAATTATTGTTTATTAAAATGAAATTTCCATAGGAATCGACAATAATTTAACACATATATAATATGAAACTTCCTTTAATCATACGCTCTCGTAGCATTAATATCAAACTCTAGCAATGCCTTAAACAAAAATTAACCAATCAATTATTTTTTTACCATTTTTTAATATAGTTCACCGTCTTTAATCTAGATCTAGACCAGGGGTGGCCAACAGTTTTTCCCCCGGGCCGAATTGGAAAAAAAACTTTTTCACTGGCCGAACCAGAAGTGGCCCTAGCAAGATTTTCAGGTGATGCGAGATCTTATTGTAGCGTCACCCCATACAGACTAAACTGTACATAGAGATTACAGATACACTTTTCACATTGGACACACAAAGCCGTTGACCTTTTTTTTTCTAGGGTCAGAATTTCTCAACTTTCCTGTCACTTCACATTGTGAGGGTATAAGGGACAAATTTACTCGAATTCTTGCATTTTATAGATTATTTATCTGACGTACTTAATAAACAAGTTCAATATAATTACCTCTGTTATTAGATCCAATATATTCCATATGCCCTCTAAATGCCAATTCTTGCTTTGATAAAAACATATAACATCTATTTATTTAGATATAATATATCTATTACTCATAATTATCTCGTTACAATTTTCAATATTTATTTTATATTATTTACTAATGTTAAATTCTATTCCGCTTTGATTTCCAAATTGCTTCAAGTACGAAAGAATCGACAATTTTTCGCGTCTTTTGCCAGCTAAATTGTCAAAGCCATTCTTATTCCACACACTAATTTCACTCTGTACATGCATAAAAATGCATTTACAGAGTGAATTTTTATGCATTTACAGAGCCATTTTATCGTGAAAATATCGAACAAATTTTTTTTATTGAAGCGTTTATATTTAACTTAGGCATTGGCCGTTCTCTTTTAATGTTTTCTTTTTCATTATACGATCTCGAGCCAAAACTTCTTTAAAATAAATTTTCAATATCGCAATTACATTCCGAATCGCTAGCCACGATATAAGGGCTAAAATTAAAAATAAAATTATAAAAACTTACTTGGTGAAATAAAATGTGTGGTGGATATACATACCTGGTACAAAATATTCTTCAATTGTATGAATATACTTTTAAAGAAAATTATAATTAAATATAACTTTGTAATGAAACGTACATGAAAATAACATAAAATATTCTTTACTCTTTAAATCTTAACCACTTAGTCAAATAGCTCCCTACGAGTGGAATCAGAGACGGTCCTGCTAGGTGTGCGGTGTGTACTGTACATGCACGCGGGCTGCCAAATCCCGAGGGTGCCGATACCCTCGGGATTTGGCAATGTCAAATGTTTCTTTTGTCGCATCACTAATATACCTCAAAAGACGCGACAGGGTTCTTGTAAATTTTAAACGTTTCTCACCATAGCTGTAAAAGTCTAAATATGTTAAACTTAATAGATTGTCCGTCGTTTGTTTTCTAACTAATTCGTTTTAGGACCAGGTGTTGTCCACGGAAATTTCCAAAATTTACAACTTTTCGGTCACTCTCGTCGAACTGGAAAAATTTCTGTCTTTATTACATCTAATACAGTATTTCGAAGAAATCAGTCCCCACTGTACTCGGCTATAGATTGGTTCGGTTAAGCTTTTGTTTAAGTAATATTCCAGCTCTTTCATCAGGGTTTTGTTTATGTCCCCAATTCTCTAATCGCTTTTAAGTAGAAATAAGTCGAAACCAGTTACTCTGTACTCGAATATTTGTAGTCTCGGGAAAAAGTGGAAAGACAAATTTTTATGACAAACGGATACATAAATCGTAAATTTAAGGAAAATAAATTCTAGCGCCTTTTCTGTACCTAGTGCGTTTCTCTCATTCATTAAATTTAGTTGTAAATGATGCAACCAAAGTAACAGTTAATTTTTTAACATTATACAAGAATTATACACGTTTTTTCTACATCCCCTTAAAGATGGGATGTACGAAATCGTAATATCACTGGTTTAACATCGGAATCCGTGAGTAATATAAAATCAGAAAGCGGAATAAATATATCAAATATTTTAATGGATTTTTTAACTCCTGTCAACTATACAGAACTATCGTAAAAACATAGTAAATTCTTATCGGTTGGGTTAAGTTATAAATCTACTCGTTATTCACGTAATCGAAATATCTAGTGGGCAGGCGGCTAACAGCCCAGAACCGGTCCTTGATAGAATTGGAATCTTTATATGTGTGCAGCTTTCACCCAAGGTCGTAGGCTTCCACCGGCTAAACCGGATGAGGTTGGTGCTCTGTAAAGCGCATGCGCAAATTTGGCTTTTCGTAATCTGAAAATAGAGGAGATTCCACTCCGCCACTAATATTCTAATATACAATAGCAATTTTTTTTTCCACGTGTAGTATAGAAATTTGTAATAAGATACATAATGCGGTTATAATAAAATATTGTGCGATTATTTTCATATAATTAAAATTAATATTTATTTATTTATTAGAGAATACGAGGGAAGCGGCGCTTCCAACGCTTCTAATGACGGCACGCCACTGATTTCAAGCCTCCTCTTTTTGTCCCACTAGGCGACAAAACTTCGGCTTACTCCTTTTTCCGTCTGTACATCTCGGACGCTGACCCAAAAGTGTTTTGTTCGTTTTACTCATGGCCTCAGGGCTTCTTAATGTCCCCTTTGTCTTCTCCTTTTGTCCTTGGACAAAGGTTGTCCCCCACCCACAGAAAAAGAATAGGTTAGAAAGTTTTAGAAACAGACATTAAAGACAAAGGAATTTAGGAAAAATAAAAATTATTTAACCCTATGTACAAAGACATGGCGTACCGCCACAAGATTATTATTTATTAAGAATCGATTTATTAAATTAATATCGAAAAATTATGTTTACCACAAGAAGCGCGTTGTTTCCACCGAATGTAGTACCCTACATGTAAGGCTACATTTAACAACCGTGACGAGATAATAGCGTTGTACTGTATTTAGTTTATGTACGTGTCAATAAATTATGGAAATTAGTTTTTAAAGCTCTTCAACACGATCGCTTCGCATTGTCATTGCTGTTCAGTGATAATCCGACAAGATACAAAGAACGTGAAGAAAGAAGACTGCAGTCTACACAAGGGGTACTCTGGGGTTCGTATTGGGTACACGACTATAAGTTTGAGAACCACATTACTGTAAAAGTCATAAAATACTGAATCAATTTTAATCAATAAATAAATATAAACTGTATAAATTGTATTATATTTTTTCTAATACAATTTTCATTTAGCAACGCGTTGCATATCATTCCCAGCCATTAAAAGATTTTATTTGAAATATAACTTTTATATCATTAATCATAATAAATGTAATTGTGAGTTATAACACAATTTTTTAAAAATATTTTTAATTATTATACAGTACAATGGTAAAAAGTCTAATTTCGAGGGTATGGAGTGCTCGCAAGGCAGAGACTTACCTCACAGATTAAAAAAGAAAGAGAAAATATGGAAAAATGTGTAATTTCCATCGCGATTTAACATGTGATTAGACAACTTTATCATCTTTATATTTTAAAAATTTTTCTCTGCTTTCGTCCTTGGAGACTAAATGGGCCTTATTCCGTACCCATCATGAATTCGATCAGGCTCACAACGGAGGCAGCTAGATCGCGAGGGATAGAATTCAGACAAACTATCTCAAAAAATTCTTGGGCCGTCGCTAGGATTCGATCCCAGTCTACATGGCTGATGCCTTAACTTCTTCGGTCATCCGGCCTTATGAGGTCTCACCGGTAACTCCAAAATATGTCGAATTTTCGCATAATATTCGATAAAATCAAAAATTTTTGACAACAAACGCCTCAGCTATCGAGCCGAGGCGTTACTTGTAATCTGTAATGATTCAGAATCGGTAAAAATGGGATCGAAAACTGATTGAACTTAACTCCCATTACAAAGCCCATTACAGATTCAACCAGTTGAGCATTGTCCCCAATGGGGAGGCTTAAGGACCCGGCATATTATAGCCAGAATAATTATATAAAATTGTGAAGATACAATCCAGATTCGTCAGAATGAAAGACACTTTTGGTTGCCAGAACCGGACATTGCCGAAGAAGAAATCATACATATTAACAAAATGAATCGATGTATATGAAGAATTCTCAAAATATCTTTAAGTATAAGTTATTATAAACATAATTAAATTTTTAAACATATTTTTATACGACTTTTTAATTTCGATATTCTTTATAATTTTAAAAATTCGATTAATAAAATACTAAACGAACATAAAAATATTACTAATAAAAAATAAAATAAAAATAAAAATAAAAATAAAAATTTTAAATCTCGTTTTAAAATTTTAAAATTTAAATATTTAAAATAAAACGAAAATAAATAAAAAAACAAAACCAAAATAAAAATTCGTTACTCTTGGAAGTTGCGCGTATTCGTTTTGCGCATTCACATGTCGGAGCGCCATCTCTTCTGCCGGTAACTTGGTTTGGTGGGGTTTGTAGAATATTCCAGTCAATCCTTTATTTTATCAGTTTGTGATTGTCTACAGAAAAGAAACATGAATTTAATAACTATTTTAGAAAAGACGGTATCTCCAGGTCAGTTATAAAATCTTATTTAATTATATTAACACGCGAATATATTTAATTTTCCAATTTTCATGATTAGGCCTAACAGAATTAGAAAAGTTTGTTGCCTAGCAACGGTTTTCCGAATGATTTAGTTAGTTAAATTAATTAACATTTAAATTATTATAGAATTTGAATAATTAGGTAATTTCTAGTTATTGTGATTATAAAACTTTTTTTGTGATTGATAAAGTATGTGGTTATAATGATATTTAGTATATAATTTTTTTTTCCGTTTTGAATGTTCGAAAGAATCCCATGTTACTAATGAATCTGTAAATTACTTTTGTATTAGATCGAAGTTATTCATATTTAGTTCTTTGTCTTATCGAGGACGATGACGTTATAGTAACTTTGCAATACGTGATAAGAGATTGTCTAATCGAAATTCAAGTTGGGAATTCAATAATTCGTTAAATGTTCAATAACTTTTTTTTCCTGTTATAATGTGTATATTAATCTAACAGATTTTTACAGACAGACAATATGACTTGTACTTAATTCAGATAAAATTGTATTGTAACAGTGAATGTTTTCTGAGAAAAATTGTTTTGGTGTGTTTTTATCGACTAAATCAACCTCAGAATAATTCAGAATCATTCTACAAACACCTGTATGGCTGCTGGGATTTTCATTTGCTAAACCCCAGCAGCCAAAAAATGTTTATAGAATGGCTGCGTTCGGCAGACTCAACAGTTCCGGACAGTTTCCTGTTGCGTATTTTTCTGCCAAACACCCTCTATGGTAGCATTCTTTCGGAACGTGTTTGATGTCACGTTTGGTAACGTCTTTCGTTTACGCTATCTATCGCTACCTGAAACTGATCGATGAGGCTTTTTGTTCCGATGCAATGTCACTTGTCGTTTGGCAGATCCAGGTTGCTATGTAACAGCTACTGATTTGCTCGGTTACAACTGTTAAGTCTGCTGAATGCAGTCAGTGATTTTGTATTTTTATGGATATAGTGACCAACCAGAGACAGTCCCCAGAAATTGGGGACTGTCTCTGGTTTTGCCTGTTTTTTTTAATGATTGTAAAATCAATCATTGAATAGAACAATTTCATTAACATGCCAACATATTACTAATTTTATAGATCAATAAATAAACAAATTTAAAAAAATAGTCAAAGTTCAATCAGTTTTGGACCCCATTTTTACTGATTCTGAAATGGTCCTTGGTTGGATTGTAAATGTTATGGTTGGCCTATCACCAGGTATAACTTAATTTATAAGCTTACAAAAAACTGCTTTTAAAATATTTAAATTGTATATATTAAAGCTGTTAACATTTATATAGTTTATTCTGCTGTACTTATTTTGGATATGCTTAAAGATAGAATGCTTTTAGTCATAATTCTTTTGTTTTATGTAATCTTTGTGTGAGAGAGTACTTCTAAATTTATGATGTAATATATTAAGATCTAACGGATGATCTGCTCGTTACATATGATAGATGTTCTGGTATCATTGAAAATTTTGACTCTATAATTTATACTTCACAGCTGAAAATTAGATCATTTAAGAAAGTTGAATAAACTAAAGATATGTATTTTTATACAGCTGCTCTTCAAGGTCTTTCTGATCATGCAGATTTGAATTTAAATCTGTATTAAAAACATATTATATTGTTGTCAGATATAAATAAATTAAGCAATAAACGTTACTCATTACTGTAACAAATTTTATTTTAATAAACCTTTTTTATCTCCAGTGCTAATGAGATAAGAATTACTTGGCTACATCTATATCTCAATAAATGTTTCTGGTAATGAGAAGTAAATAACAACAAATATATAATTAAAGTATATTTTTACCTAAAGCTTACATTATTTGTATTAATATTTTAATAAAACTTTGATTTAAATTTGCAAATAAATGTACAATATCAAGTAAACATTACACATACATATATTTTAACTCATTAATATAAAGCATAATAATCAAGTATTATGTAAAAGTATATATTCAGTTTGAGATATATGCAGATGGGTTTACATGTGTCACAACTTAAAATGAATTTTTTAAATCAAATATGTCAAACATTAAAAGTGTGAACTGGTATTAACTCTTTACAATGTCATCAACACTTGAAAGAAGTTATTTTACTTGGTATCAATGCTACCAAGTAAAAAATTTTCAATGAACTATGGATACAGAATCAAGCATTACTAGGATGTAGTTATGTCTATCTGGGACTAATCATTACAGATGATGGAAGGAATGATAAAGAAGTTAGAAGGATTGGAATTGCAAGGACTGCATTTACAGTACAAACATGAAACAAGTGTTGACATCAAGGGAGATTAGTATACAAACAAGAGTTAGGTTGGCAAAATGTTATGTTTGGTTGACCCTGCTTTATGGAGCAGAGTTGGACAATGAATGCAAATAATGAAAAGAAATTAAAGGCATTTGAAATGTGGATGATTTAAAGAATGCTGAAAGTTCCTTGGAGGGCAGGAAGAACAAATGAAAATCCTGGCAACTGCAAATCAGAAAAGAATCTTACTAGAAGTAGTAAGGAAAAGAAATGAGTTATCTGGGGCAAGTACTGTGACACCAAAGTCTACAAAAAATATTACTGGAAGGAATGATTGAAGGGCAAAGAGGCAGGGGTAGGCCAAGAATAAACTGGTTCGACATCATCAGGAATTGGACATATTTAACGTATGAAGAGTGCTCAAGAGAAGCACAAGATAGATCATGGTGGTGTGAAATGGTTGTCAACCTCCTGACAGGAGAAGACACCTAATGAAGAAGAATATACATATTGACTTAAAAGACAAGGCACTTTTTGGCCTCTCTAGGCTCTTGTTCCAACCAATCTTTTTACTAGGAAAAGTTGCTGTTTTTTTTTTGTTTTTTTGTTTTTTTGTTTTTTTTTTTTTTTTTTTTTACAATTCCGAGGCAATTTA